GCAAAAAGCTCTCATTAAGCTCAATGAGAATTTTTGTTAAGAAGTGCAGGTTTAAGCGCATACCAGGGCATCAATATGAAGATGTGGCAAGGGTAGAGAGAAAAGGAATGAACTGTAATGGAGCATCAAATAGCTTGAAACTATATGGCCCTGATTCAACCTCACAAGAGTTTCACACTAGAATAACTATAGAGTTGCACTTGATTTACACTTGTGTGAATGAAGAAGCAGGACACACAGATGCAAACCACATTCAGTAGACTCTACCTTTGGGGAAGTTTACTCTGGGTGGATGTGGATGCCTACACTTCAGACTACAAGACATTTAAAAGACATTTTGAATATGTCTTCCTGTTAAATTTGAAAAATATTGTCCTTTTAAACAATTTACAGTTAGTACTTTTATAGTTGAGAGAGTAAACAGAAGAAAGCAACCAAAAGGGAAAATGTCAATTGAAGTTATCTTTCCAAAAACATTCATTTTCAAAATCTGAAAAATACCACCACCCTTTTCTACATCTTATATTTAAGTGAGATCCTAAGTGTTGTAAAGAAAGTTGTTTTTTCCAATTGGAAAAAGCTGAGTTTCTTCTTTTGTGCCCCTAAGTCTGCTTACACATAGAAAAGTACTATACAGAGACCAAATGAAAACAGGGGCAGCAATAAGAAAGTAAATGGGAGACACTAAGCCTGGAACATAATGATTTCTCCAAGAAGGTAGTCAACAAGAATTCATATGTATACTTAAAAGGAAAAACTGGGAATAGGATTATTCAATTTGACCAGAAATACCCCACACATAAAATATGAGGATAACCTAGCTGATGTGATCTTTATTGACTGTAAGACTGCTCTTACTCACATTGAAGTGAGTGGGAGTTCAGGCATTGATTTCAACAAGGAGCAAGTTCTGGCCCTAAAAGTGTCGTGGCTTAATTAGAATATTCATTCATTTTCCTTGGGCAATATGCAAAGTTAAGCTCTCAAATGGATGAAAAGTCAAACTTCTGGGGAAAAATATGTATTGTCCCCCTGTTCATTGCATCATCACTCAAAATATTCATTGTACATATTGTTGTAGTTCCCTTCCAAAAGTTCTTCCAAGACTCTTTTGGCAGGGTGTTTTTTTCCTTTGACTAAAGTAGACCTGTTGCTCTTTAAAATCTGCCTGACTGCTCTATACTTGGATATTTCATATTAGTTATTCTTGATTAATACTTTGTAATGATAATTTTAAAAATTCCCTCCAAAAATACATCAAGATTTTTGTGAGCTGAAACATAGACCTTATTACAAACTGAATCCACCTTAGATTTGACCATCATTAATACATAACTCACTGAACATTTGCAAAACACAAATGTTCAATTACACTGCCTATCATTTCAATAAACAAGGATGCATATCAGAAAGAAGGGAGTGGAAGAAATTGTCCACACCCTCTCATGATAGCTTGAAGAATTGCTAAGAGAATTTTGGCTCAGTTTTAAAAGATTGGAATATGATCATCTAATGCGATCACCCTATCCCATGAACAGGAACTGGTTTTCAACAGTAGGACAGCTAATGGCTAGGCTGTAGAGCACTTTAGTTCCCTTTTTTTTTTTTTTTTTTTTGCCTTAGAAGAGATAAATGTCATTTGTTTTCAATCTAATTGCTAAGTAATTATATAGAGAACATACTAATCATTTGAGACCAAAAAAACTGAAAATTCAAGAAACTGTGTTTTATTGAGGACTATCCATTGCCAAGGATATTTTGTGTGTTGTATTTGTTTGTTTTAAAACAGTTTTTTTCCCCCATAAAGAATTATCACAATGCAAGACATAAATTTAGGTTCCCAGATACACTGCATCTCTTTTCTGATAGCAAGGATTTAGGCCAAACAGCTTTTATTTAGAATCGTGAGTACGTTTTTTTAATTATTATTATGAGAAAGAGATCAGATTATATGAATCATTTAACTACCAGATTATTTAACTAACCTAAAGTAGCTATCTCACCACTTAAATGCCTAAGAGTTGTCTTTGATTAAACATAACATGCATGCAGGTTTAAATGTTGTGTTTTATTATGCCTTACAAATATGTATGCAGGATTTTCATTTTCAGCAAGTCTGAAAGCCTGTAGCAGTGGTTGCCACCAAAATTACCAGCACAGTGAATTGTCCTTGTAAACAGCTGGATCATTTATTAGTGGATAAAGATAAAGGATCGACCAATGCCTATCAGATAAAAAGTAAACTTCTTGAGAAACACACTTCCACCTTGAGTCTGTTTATTGCCATCAGCAGTTCTTTCAAAATGTAAAACTGAAATCTGACGGCTCCTAAGGGGGAAAAAATGCACATTTACAAAGTCTGTTCATCTGCAGCAGCCGCTCACATCCGCCCTTCCCACGCCCCAGCTCTCAGACAGGCAAAGGCAACTGCAAAGAAGAGGGAATTGGAGCAGATCCCCTGGGTTCTCCAGCTGCCGGCGGGGCGGAGGTTAGCGCCGTGGCACTGCCGAGAAGGGCGGCAGCACCCTCTGGGCAGGACATCGGTAGCTACGGGCCCGCCCAGGCCGCTGAAAGAGAAGGGAGGCAGGGCGGGCTGGGGGCAGAGCGCTCCGGCTCCGCGAGCTCGGGGCCAGCAGCGCCGGTGCGCGCCAGGCTCGGGCAGGGAGGGAAGCTCTGCACAGAAGCGACAGGGCAGAGATCAAAGCTGGCCGCACCTCCGCCCCTGCGGCAAACTTGGAGCCTCAGCCCGCCCCCTCCTGAGCAGGTTCCCCCGGCTGCGGCCGGCCTCCCCAGCTTGGAAGCCCCCTACTCGCTGCTGCCTCGCCTGCCCCTCCGGAAGGGATGCAGGGGGAGGCGGGAAGCAGCCGCCAGCCCAGCACCTTGCTGCCCCGGCCGGCGTGTGGGGAGTGGAAAAGGGCGGGGAGGCTGGCGCGCCCCGCTCCGGGGGAGCCAGCCGCTCTCCGGTCCCTCCCCACCGCTGCACCCCGACTCCTTCTCCCAGTTTCCCCGTTTAAGACTGACTGGGGGCAGGAGGGAGAGAAGCTGCTAAAAATAACCAGCGCGCCCAACGCCGCCGCCAGCCTTCGCTAGCCGCACATGGCCGGACACACCCCCTCCGCGCACAGCCAGCCTAACCCGCCGCGCCGCACAGCACAGCCCACGTGGAAGGGACCCCCTCACCCCGGGAGCCAGCGCAGCCCCCTCCCCGAGATCCTGAGGGAGACCCTGCCAGGCCGAGCAAGGAGCGAGCTAGCACCGGCCCCCGACGCTGCCCTCTGGAGGCGCGCTGCCAAGCCCCGCTACTTGGGGGGAGGGAGCCAGAGCCATCCCCGCCTCCTACGCGCACGGATCTCGGCCTGAAAGGTGTCCCTACCTCCGCCCCACTCGGAGATGGGGAGAGGAGTAGAATTCCCCCCCCCCAGTAAAGGGCCCCCTCGCTAGCCACACTCAGCTGCGATCCCCCCACTTCGCCGAGGGGAGATGCAGCAATGACAGAAGGCAGGTAAACGGGCAGAGAACCTAGCACTAAAGCGTGCCTGGAATCACGTTCTCCGAGACCCTCTCCGCCATCTTTCTGTGGGCTCCAGGGGGGCAGCCACCCCCGGGGTCTCCCTTCTAGGCTACCGGGGCGCTGAAAGCCGGATTGGGGGGCGTGGTGGGGGTAAAATCAGCGATTTCACACGTTTGTGGAATAAAAAGCCGTCTAACATCCCCCCCCCCCCCCCCCCCGGCTACATGCAGACACAGCCGCCTACAGCTCCGCAGGTGGGGCGTGGGTCCAGGGCATCGCCAGCGTTACTTCTACAGACACTAATAGCGATACGAGTTTCTATCAGTTCCAGCTGATTTATTAAAATTGTCAAGATACAGACTTTCAGCATAAAAAAAAGGCAATGATGTTGACAGTGCACAAGTCTGCTTTTGCCATCATTTGCTACAAAATATGCAGATGGTCTGTACTTTAGATTATATTGCACAAAATGAGAAACTTTTTTTTAACTATGTGCCTTTTTTTGCTAAAAATCGAGAATCCAGTTTCATACCTTCCATCTGGGGCCCCATCCACATATCACAGCGTATGAGATACATAAAGTCCTACTATAGTACAGTACATATACAATCTTTTAAACTAAGATAACAGCTCTGAGGTCTATATCACCATTTTCAATAAATCTTTACCTACAAATATTGAACAAATCTGAACTATAGCTGTACAAAAAAGTTTCTTTTTTTTTTTTGTTTTAAACCACAAGGCCTTTAGATGCAAGGATTATTTTTAAAATTTTAATCCTTTTAAAACCAGGACGTAACGTACCAACAAACTTGCATGCTAAAAACAGAAAAGAAAAAAAAATAAAAGGGAAGAAGTGCCTGAAAAGTCTTACTGAAAAAACACAGCAAGAATGTTCCCTTTTCACTGTACAAAAATACGCCTGAAAATATATTAATTTTTAAAAAAGACTGAGGTCTGTTATGTATCAAAAATGTTTCAATACCTTTTTGTACTGAGGTCTAGGCTGTCTGGTATTCAATCAAGGAGGTATAAGGGAACAAGTTACAAAAAAAAAGTTGGCAAGTAGAAATCACATTTGTAAAACCATAGACAATTTGATCTGAAAAGTAAACTCTGATCTTAAGTCAGTTCACAGTTTTTATTTTCTTTTTGTAAGCGTTTGTACAGTCTGCATTTTTTCAAGCTCCCTGCAGCTTTGTTAAGAATCGGATGCATAGAAGACATCAGTTTTCTCCCTCCAAAAAAAGTTGCAATGGTCCCTTTCAGAAAAAAAATCAGAACAGTTCTTTTAAGATCTCTCACGGGAAAAAAAAATCCACAAACCCCCTTGAGTAACAGTTGTGCTGCCAAAAGACTTCTTTGCAGACCATCTTCCAGACTTCAATCACAGACCGACAAGCTTCGAGCATCGATTTCTGAATCATTTTTCCCCCAGTCCCCCATGCCTTTTTGTTGTTGTTGCGATCACCAAAATAAAAAAAAAAAAAAAAAAAACATAACTCCGGGCTCGGTTTGGAACTAACTTTGAGACTTTTTTTAAAAAAAGAAAAGACATTTTATTATTTCATTTTTTACTCCACCACTTCCATCACATCATCACCAGCATCATCTTTCCTTTCCGATTTCTCTGCACGGTTGTTCTCATCAGCGACACGCCTTCCCGCGGCTCAGTAAGTGAAGACCAAGTCGGAAAAGTTCGCTTCCAGCCAGTCCCCTGCAATCATTTCGCTCAGCTCCGGGGTGCAGTAATCGGGGAACTCGAAGTGAGAGCCCAAGCTGCCCTCGCTGAACGAATCCAAATCTTTATCCACCAGGGACAGAGACAGGTTCCCCGAAGCAGAGCTCACCCCCAGCTCCGAGGCGGCGTGAGGGTGCTGGGAGAAATTCAAGCTCAAGTCGAACATCAGGTCGTCCGTCTCTTCGCTGCTGGAGGAGGAGGTGGAGATGGACCTGGAGGAAGCCGGGGACAGGCTGGGCTGCTGCGGGGTGTTCTGCTTGGTGATGTTCTTGAAGTTATAGTACAGTCTATTGCTGCCGCTGCTGCCGTGCGAGGCTGCGCTGCCCCTCACCTCTTCGTACAGGCTGGCCCCCTCGGTGGACTCTGCCGAAGAGCTCAAGGTGGGACTGGCCGGGACTTTGGCTACATTATATCGCCTCTGCTGCTGCTGCTCGTCTTCCTCGTCCTCCTCCTCCTCCGCCTCTTGCTTGATCCTAAGCTGCAGCTCGTCCTCCTCCTCCTCCTCTTCATCATCCTCGTCCATGAAGACGCACTTGACGGTTTTGCTGCTCACTTTCAGGGTGCCGTAGGCATAGTCCTCCCCCGGGTAGTCCCCGGGGTGGGTGGCTTTAGCCCCGGGCTTGGCGGGAGAGGAGGAGGAGGACTTCAGCTTGCTACATTTCTTACTGGAGCTCTTGGCGCTTTTGCTGCTGCTGCTGGTGGGTGCGTTTTTCTCCGGGCTCTGGCTGGCACTGGGCTTGGCTGATGGGTCCATTTTGGGCTTTTTCCTGGGTCTGTATTTGTAGTCGGGGTAATCGGCCATGTGTTTGAGCCTCAGTCTCTCTGCCTCCCGGATGAAGGGGATCTTCTCGCTGTCCTTCAGCATTTTCCACCGCTTGCCCAGGCGCTTGGAGATCTCCGCGTTGTGCATGTCCGGAGACTGCTCCATGATTTTTCTCCTCTCGATTTTAGACCACACCATGAACGCATTCATCGGTCTCTTAATGTGCCCTGAAGCCGTTTTGCACCAGTCCGGGTCGCTCTCATCCAAAGCGACCGGGCTGCATGCCATAAACTCGCCCTCTTCGGTGTCCATCGCCTCCCGGGGCAGGTTGCTTTCAGTCTCTGTACTTTCCGCTTGCTGCACCATGCCGGGCTTGGAGCGATTTCTTTGTGTGTGCCAGCCCTTTCCCTGCCCCGCCACGCGAGCCCTCGGGAGTCACAAGGTGAAGCCCAGCGTGCGAGTTGCAAGGTCTCTTCTGCGCCTTTCCTTCCCCGCTCGCACACTGCCGCTACTGCTCCCCTTGCACCAGGCACCAGCAGGACTGGGACTCTCTCCGGCTCGGCGCGGCTCTTTCCCCTCCCCCCTGCAGCAGCAGCAGCAGCAGCCGCCCGGACCCCGAGCTCTCACTAGATCACACGCCCCCTTCTGCAAAAGTTGCGGCCGGGTCCTCTCCGAACTAGTTATCAGGGTTTCATATGGGTGACATCACTCCCCCAGCCAGCCAATCGTGTAACTGGGGCTCCTCCCACTGGCTCCTCCCCTCTGCCTTTATTTAAGTCCCCCACATGCGCCCCCCGCCTTTCGCACCGTTTTAGTGGGGGAGGTGTGGAATTGGAAGAGGCTGGGCTGGGAGCTTAATCTTAATATACATATATTAAAAATGACTTGCATGGGTCATTTAAGATGGGTTGTATTAATGCTTTCACTATCTCCTCCTGGGCTCGCTATTAGAAAACACAGCAATTTGTTTTGCTAGAGAGTATGGGATAGTGGATGTGAATCTGGTGCGATTATTTCCCATTGCCTAGTGCAGTCAGGCTGGGTGAGCTCATGTCCTAGGGACTGAGGTGCATCCTCCGGGCATCTGCTCTCTGTGCTTCCAAGTAACTGAAGGTGGCGCTTTAACACTACAAGCTTTTCAAAAGCATGCAGCTATTTATTTTTTTGCAAGGCAAAGAAATCAGTTTAAAGATAAAGTGCTGATTTCTCATTCTTGTGTTTGCATAGTGTCTATTTTATCCCTTCTTTCTCTTATTCTCTTCCTCCAAACCTCCCCCACAGCCAAGGCATCACTTCTTTACTCATGGTTCCCTATCTGCCTTTCTTAAACCAATAGCAGGAGAAACAGTCAACGGTTTTGCTTTTGATCAGTTAATATCAATGACACCTATTTGAGATGTGTGGATGTTTTGTACTTCAAAATCTGGTGGCTGTGACATTTACAGGCACAAATTGACCCATGGCCACCTCTGGCATTACTCACACCTGTGATCATTTTTTTTTAAATCATGAAAAATATAGGATACATTAAACAATCTAATTGCATAAAAACAGCACTTTGCCTATCATGAATCATTTATTTTCACTTCCTAATTTTGACTAGACCATAATGCCAATAATTAGCCTTTTTTCCCCCTGGCTGGTAGTAAACCAGAGTAAATAGGGCACTGTGTCACATGGTGATTTAAATCCACCCTTAACAAATCAGGGTGCATAGATGGTACTTAAAACATGTTTAAGTGGAGCAAGTCCTCCCCCACCTTTCAATTTCATGGTGCTGTTAAGGCTATCTATGTGTTAGCTCCAGATGGTGGGGAGAAAGGAAGGTCTAAGCACCAGATACTCCCTGTAGGGAATTGAGTAGGAAGGATGGCAAAGAGGCAGAACCATAGCTCCCCACCCTACACCTTCCCCAAGCACTGGCCAGATGCACAGAGTGGAGGGAAAACGAGTCTTGCAAATTACTGCCCCCATAACAAAAAGGGGGCCATGTGAGAAATGTTGTCTCTGAGGCACAATGCTTCCTAGTGCTCTCCATGATGGTGCCTACTGAACCAATCTAACCCATAATAATGGTTATTGTTTATCATCTGGATTGTATGAGGTAAAAAGGAAAATTTGTGTGGTATAAGCCTATCATAAAATATTATGACTTATATCATAAGCCGTTCGTTTATAAGCCGACCCCCCCAAGATGGATAAGTAAAAATGGCAAATTTGTATGCCCCATTCATAAGCCGACCCTATAATTCAGGGGTCGGCAAACTTTGGCTCCCGGCCCATCAGGATAAGCCACTGGCGGGCCGAGACAGTTTGTTTACCTTGAGCGTCCACAGGCATGGAGGTAAACCTAAGTAAACAAAATGTCCCGGCCTGCCAGCGGCTTAACCTGACGGGCTGGGACAGCAACTGATGGGAAAATTTTTTGTGGGGAGAAGCTGGGGGTCAGGAGAGTAACCCCTGTGATCACCCCCCACATGACTCCACCCCTAACCCGGGACCTCCCCACATGACTCCTCCTCGTGTAACCCCTCCCTGCCCCATCCCTAGCCCGGGACGCCCACACTCTCCCCATCCCATCCCTTCCCACCTTACCTGCAACGGGCCAGGGGAGGTGTGGCCGCAGCCTGCCAGCCCCAGAACTGCAGCGGCTTCGGAGGCTGCGGAGAGAGCAGCGTGGCCAGAAGCAGACTCTGTCCTCTGCCTCTTCCCTTCTGGCTCTGCTGGCTGTGCTGCCTCTCCTTGCCCCCTCTGTTGAGGGGGAGGCAGGGGCTGTGTCCCACCTCTCCCCCTCTCTATACCCGTTCATAAGCCGACCCCCTTCTCTGATGTTTCCCTTTTTTACTAATATGATATATTAAAATAGATGTTCTTAAAAGGGTGGAGCAGACTCTTTAAAGCCTGGCCTACCTGAAGGATTGCCTATTTTCCTGTGTAATACTTTCACCACTGTGGTCAGCAGAGGAGCCTGAGTAGAATTCCCCTCATTATAAACGAGGGGGAGGGTTGCTGGGCATTCTCTGTGAAGGCTCCAAGACTCTGGTTTCTCCCCAGCCTGGTCTGAAGTAGCTTGAATTTGGTGCCCATGTGGGCACACTGCAAATGCCATCTGTTTGATAGGGGTTTTGGAGAGAATGAGGGTATGCTTCCCACAATGATGAAGGGGTGGAAAGGAGTCTCTATAGATGTCTGGCTGGTTGAGTTCCTGTGAGATGACTACTGGCTGCTGGAATTTTATTATTAATGATGTCAGGCTGCCTAGAACCTTGGAGAAGTGTAAAAAAGTCTAACAGAATGTTAGGAACTATCAGGAAAGGGACAGAAATTAAGAGAGAAAATACGGAAATGCCACTGTAAATCCATATGCTCCCGTGTCCAGTTTTGGTCACCCCACCTCAAAAAAAGATATAATGGAACTGGAAGGTTGCAAGAAGGGCAACAAAGATGATATGAATGGCTTCCATAAAAAGAGAGACTACAAAGACTGGGGCTGTTAAGCTTAGAAAAGAGACGAGTAAGGGGAGTTATGATGGAAGGTTATAAAATCATGAATGGTGTGCAAAAAATGATTAGTGACATGTTATTTAACTTTTCCCACAATGTGATGGGTTGGATCACAGAAACCCCCTTGGGAGCTGCCACCTGATGTGCAAAGACTACCCCTGTTCCTGTTTTCCCTGCCAGCTCAGGACTCCAGCACCCTGTCTTGCTGAGCCAGACACTCCCGTCTGCTCCAACACAGACCCAGGGTCTGAATCACTTGCCCCAAAGCTGCAAGTTTACCTGAAAACAGCTCACAGAAGTTTGCTTGTCTTTAGCACTCAGATACCCAACTCCCAATGGGGTCTAAACCCAGATAAATCTGTTTTACCCTGTATAAAGCTTATGCAGAGTAAACTCATAAATTGTTCACCCTCTATAACACTGATAGAGAGATATGCACAGTTGTTTGCTCCCCTAGATATTAATACATAATCTGAGTAAATTACTAAATAAAAAGTGATTTTATTAAATACAGAAAATAGGATTTAAGTGGTTCCAAGTAGTAACAGACAGAACAAAGTAAGTCACCAAGCAAAATAAAATAAAATGCACAAATCTATGTCTAATCAAACTAAATACAGATAATCTCACCAGTTCCAGAATGCTCCCTTTTACAGGCTAATCTCCTTTTAGCCTGGGTCCAGCAATCACTCACAACCCCTGTAGTTACTGTCCTTTGTTCCAGTTTCCTTCAAGTATCCTGGGGGGGTGGAGAGGCTCCTTCTTTAGCCAGCTGAAGACAAGCACACTTCTGTGAGCTGTTTTCAGGTAAACTTGCAGCTTTGGGGCAAGTGATTCAGACCCTGGGTCTGTGTTGGAGCAGACGGGAGTGTCTGGCTCAGCAAGACAGGGTGCTGGAGTCCTGAGCCGGCAGGGAAAACAGGAGCAGAGGTAGTCTTTGCACATCGGGTGGCAGCTCCCAAGGGGGTTTCTGTGATCCAACCCGTCACACACAATACAAAAACCAGGGGCCACATGATGCAATTAATAGGCCTCAGATTTAATACAAACGAGGAAATACTTTTTCATGCAGCACACAGTTAACCTTTGGAACTAATTGTCGTGGGATATTGTGAAGGCCAAAAGTATAACTGGGTTCAAAAAAAGAACTGGATAAGTTCATGGAGGATAGGGCCATCAATGGCTGTTAGCCAAGATGATCAGGGATGTAACCCCGTCCTTGGGGTGACACTAAACCTCTAACTACCAGAAGACAGAGGTGGATCACTCCAACTGCCCTGTTCTGTACACTTCCTGTGAAACTCTGGTACTGGCCACTGTTGGAGACAGGATACTGGGCTTGATGGACCATAGGTCTGACACAATATGGCCATTCTTATGTCTGTTCTTATGTTCTTTTTGTTATTTTAAATTTAAATAAATAACGTGAGTAGAGATGGTTGAAAAATAGAATTCCATTCTGTGGGAAATTCTGAGATTTGGTCACATTCTGAGTCAGAGTGAAAAGTTTAAATCTCAGAAATTTTGTGAAATACAATATTTCAAAATATTTTTTCGACCTTATCAAAACATCTCATTTTGGTAAGATTCAACTTCTTTCATTTCAACTTTATTATTTTGACTTTTATGCTATACCATATAATGATAACATGTATTGTAATTTATAATAACATAAAAATCGAAACGATAAAGTCAAAACAGAACATCTTGACCTTATCAAAATGAAATTGGCATGTTCCTATGAAAGTTTTTGATTTAATTCTGCTGGAAAACTGTTTCAATGCAAAATTTCCAACCAGTTCTAAATGTAACTAAGAAGCCAACCAAAAATATAGGGCCTTTCATGACTGGGGTGCCATCTAGAAAACATCGCAGGATCAGGCCTTTAACTACCAGAACTGTTAGTGTAATCAAATAGCAATAACAGTCCAAAATCAGACAAGAAAAAGCTTTAGTACTATAACTAGTGGAGGGAAAAAATAGGCCAGATTACTTCCTTCTTTTTATCACTGTCATTGCAACCTAAAGAAGACAATTCTGGTTGAAACATTTTTCTTGTCTGAGTTTGTCTCCTTTGTAAAGATGAATATAAATACTATGGAGGCTTTCACATAACCCCTCCTCCC